TTATTTTTGTTTCTGTTCAAACTAAATATATTTTTTATCAGAACTAGTATTTGCTAGTCCTAACTGTCAAAATGATTGCTGCAAAAAATAGCCTGAACTTATGAACCCCTAAAGTTTGATTTTTACTAGTGTGCAACGCCTTCACTAGTCTAAAACAAAGTTCTGCTAAATTATTTCTCAAACCTGAACATTATAACAGCCTTAATTTGCAGAAATTATTTTGCAAATTATAATTTATTTGCTAATTCGTTTATGGAATTCTGAGCTGGATTAAAATTGACATCAAACTTGATAATTCTGGATTAGTCAGAGCACCATGAATGTTCTGAGTTGAAGCTGAGTCAGCACTGACTCATGCACATGTATAACAACATTTACTGGTTTCAGCTGCTCTGAAATCCTACTTTATTTCATTTGACTTAGTTTAGCAGCTTTTAAGGGAGCAAAGTCTGCACTTCTCCCAAAACACTTCGGCAAAGACAACTTCTTCAAAAACAAGACAACAACACAGATTCCTTTCATTATTTCCAGGGATCACAGGGTCACTGCTGTGCCATTCATTTGCATTTTGTTCCAGCTATTCTTCATCGCCCAGTTGGTTCCCCTTTTACCATTAGCGCATATATGGTCTCTCTCTGAAGCCCAGAGCTCTACCATGGTGATGTTGTTTATTACAAGAGGCTCTTCTCCACTAAATCTTTCCTCCTATACCACCACAGGCTACAGTTTCACCTCCAATGTAGTGTTTGTCTCACCCCATTAAATGTCTCATTAATTGCAGCCTTTTCTGTYGCCTCCATGAAACCATGTTTACCCCTGGGTTCACTTCACCTCCTCGACAACCACTTTCAAGAAATCCTTACTGTTGGTTTAATCATTAAATCCAAGCCCTGATCCTTGACTAGTGGACCCAACTTGTCCTCAGACCTTCAGGAGCTGTTTGAAGTATGATGCCTGTTGGGTAACAATCAGGTGCCGCCAGCGTTTGCAGGAAACTGGCTGTAAATGTCTTTTCAGTTTACAGCTAGCTTAGCTTGGCTCCTCCCGACTTCTTCAAAAAAATACATTTTCTTTTGTCGGCTGTGTGTTGTCAAGTCTTTTTCTTTAAAACAAAAAATTAACTAGAGAATTTGCAATTCCTGCAAAAATACATTATGAGTACTGAATGCTTGAAGATTTGTGCTGAATAGCTAAAAAAAAAGCTGAAACTGTTTTTAAAAGTAGCTTAAATTTGAACAAGGATTATAGCAAAAAGGTGAATTTAGCTGAAAAAAAAGCTCAAATTAGCCAAAAGGTATCTAAAAACATCTTAAATTAGCAGAAAGCAGCTAAACAAAACATAAAAAGCAGGACCAATTCATGACTATTTTCAAGGGTTTTAAGAATGCTAAAAGCAGCTTCATTCATTTTCAATGAGACAAAGGTGGCCAAAATGCTAAATATCTTAAAAAAGTATAATTGCTGAAGTATCAAAAGTCATAGCCGGAAAGTCCTGAAGGAGCTGAACATTTTGCCATAAATTGTTCAAATAGCACAAATACCTTGGAACAAGATTCATGCCCATAAGATATACGAAGGAAAAATGTGTCTCAGTAGTGTGAATGCTTGATAAGCATCTTCCTCAAAGCGTTCTCATTTCTTCAACCCASTCACCCCCTCTGACTGCTTCAGCTGTGTTGTATGTGGAGCAGCTGTGTGTTGTGATACTGTTTTGTGTTGTTTCCTGTTTCCTCCGATGGAGAGTCATCTTTGCTTAGTAATTGGTTCCCACTGTGCACTCTGACCCCAGTGTCAGAGGGCATCATCTTCACAGTGCCCTCATTCTCTTCTTCATTTCTAAAAAAAAATGCAGCAGGGTGCATATTATATAATCTTAGACTTTGCATATACCAGTTACTATTTAGCTTTTAACTTTGAGCAAAGAAGAGTAGTATGTAACAAATTATAACCRCCTTTTTTTTACTCTCTTATTTCCTCTCACTGTCTAGCTCCCTAACATGTTTGGAGACCTCCGTTCGACCTTCATTGCCCTAATGATRGGCTCGTATGCCTCCTCTGCTGTCACTTTTCCTGGCGTAAAGGTAAAAACATGCCCTCATTTTCAAACTTTTGTCATGCTTAAAAAACATTAAATCTGTACAGTATGTGTGACCAACCTGGTCAGCAGCATGAGGAAGAGGTACCAGGTGTGGTTGCTATATGGTTCATCCAGGTGCTCCTGAAGCTACTGTTTGTTTTATATATATATAAATATAAAACTTGTGAAAAAGACAGAAATTTCTGATTTCTGATGCACTATATTTCCTGTCTCTGTCTYATTTTGCATTTATCTGTGTTATCTTGTGCACAGGTCATCTATGATTTGAACATATCTTTTATTACCATACTGGTGGTGTGGGCTGCCTGTGCTGGACTGGTCTTCTTGAACTGCTTCTTCAATTGGCCACTGGAACCGTTCCCAGGACCAGAAGACATGGACTACACGTTAGTAACCCACYTACAGATGGCTGCACAGAACCACACACCCACACTCCTGCTTATATGATARYTTTTAGAAACATTGAACTACTAATGAAATACCAAGGGAAATTTGACCAAAGGARGAATAATAAATTTTTGTCTCCTCAACCCTTTCAGTGTAAAGATCAAGTTTAGCTGGCTGGGCTTCGACCATAAAATCACAGGGAAGCAGTTCTACAGACAGGTGACCACAGTGGGCCGGCGTCTGAGCGTGAGCAACAACGTGAAGCAGAAGGAGGTGGTGGGCAAGGATGGACATAATCTCTGCCTCTCCACCACGGACCTGGAAATGGATTGCAAGCCACAGGAAGAATGTAAGAATCCAACATGATTAACAATATTCAAACCAAAAGATTTTAATACAGAAAATCTATATAACTCAATTTAAACTGATGATGGAGGATATGAAAGCACCTCTGGGTCCTTGTAGCCTCACATATAAGTGCTGTTTCACCAGGAGGACTCTTACTTCAAGGAAAAAAGGAAGTATGCACATGTAAAAATAAATATGGCAAAAAGATTTAGGAGTTAAAATTGTACATACAGTATCAACACAAGTTTACACGTTTTTGGCTCAAAACAAAAAGCCTAACGTGTAARTGTAAATGAAACATTATTTTTTGCACTCCTCAACTAAATGATCTTCCAAAATTCATTCAAAATTTTCACACTTGTAAATCTTTACTGTACCTTCTAACCTCCTCTTCTGGTTCTCCTTTTTGACTTCTTTTTGCAAATTTCCTATTTCATCGGCTTCTATTTTGTTGATTTGAATCTTTTCTGCTTTTCTTTACTAATTAAAAATATTTGTACTTTTGTTCAGCTTCTTTCAGCTGCTGTCTGATTTTAGCAACTTCAGCTAAATTCACCTTTTTTTTTGATAATTTTAGCTTAATCCAGCAACTGTACTCTTTCTGTTTCTTTGTACTAACTTCAGCTATTACTTTCTTGGCCATTTTACACTAGCTATTTAGTTATTTTTTAAAAAAAAATGCAAGTTTTTGTATTTTTTCTTCTTGTTTTTGCTCAGTTGGAAGATTTAAGTTTTTTTTTTTGCTTGTTTTAGCTACTGTTTTGCCTTTTCCAAGTAAATTTTTTACCTTTTTTTTCTTTCTTTTTACTGATTTTTCACTTTTGATGTCCTGCTTTCAGCAAAAGTCATTTGTTCAAATTGAAATTGAACAGTCTTGCTATTAAACATTTTCAGCTTGATTTCAGCAAAAAATCGTTCAGCATAAAGCACCGACACTGCATTTTTGAGGAAAATCAGTTTCTCTAGTTTATTCAACTTGTTTTTCTCCTGTTCTTCCACCACAGCCGAGTCCTTTCTGAAGAGCATCATGAGCCCGATCTTCCTGCTGAGCGCTCTGACCATGTGCATCACTCAGCTTCGTCTCCTCTTCTACATGGGGGCCATGAACAGCGTTCTGGAGTCTCTCTGTGGTGGGGACCTCAATACAGGTTGGTTGGTTTGCTTTTACTTTGAAAAGCATTGCTAAAGCTCTTTCAAAAAATGATGAATTAAAAGCAGTGGGACTTACATGATTTAATTCAATTTCCAGCTGAAAAGATAAAAGTTGGTAAGATGAAAAGTTTGACCTGTAGATTTTTTTTAGTAGCCAGCCACAAGCAGAAATCCATCTCTAGTTTTGGTTATTACAGTGCTAGATTCACTTTCTGCCATTTTTTTTAAATGCATCTAGATTTTTTTTTACTCCCTTAGTTGACTTACTAACTCAGCCCCTGTTATTCCGCTTTAATCTGCAGCCAGCAGGTAACATTAGTTTATTTATTAACTCATGCTGCCTCTCAGAATCAACAGAACAAACATCATACGAGCCGTTTCACACGACACACTTTTCATGTATCATTGCTCTCTGAGCCATAAACTCCCCTCCTAATGGTCTCATATTGACTCTTGTTGCTCTCAATATGGCTCTAATGCTCTGAACTAATTTGTACTGACAAACTAACCTGCTCGGAAACCACTGAAAACAAAATATATTGTACACAAAAAGTATTTCATTGTATTCCCTYCTTCCTAATAAACTAATTGTTCTTATTCTGCTCTTCAGTTAGTTTGTACTCCTCCATTTTTGGCGTGCTGCAGCTGCTCTGCCTGATGACCACCCCTGTGATCGGTCAAATCATGGACTGGAAACTGAAGGACTGCGATGACGGCGAAGACGACAAGGAGCCCTTTGGCAAGTGAGTCAAGCCTGAGTAGTTCATCGCAAAGAAGAATAACATGCTCTGTCTTGACCCTTCGTTTTAAACATTTTTTTTAAATCACTCAGTAACAAGACCAAGTTAAAGACTCTTGGTCTTTATTACTCATCCATATGTCGACTGTTGTTTTTTACAGGAGACTTAAGCTCCGTACAACTAGAAATTGTTACTTTTTGAAGAACATTGTTTATGAAATGTTGCAATAAAAGTGCCTAAGCTGACATATTTCTGGGCTTTTTCCGTTTCCCATCAAGGGGTGAAACAAAGCGCAGAAATAGGCCAGCTTAAGCACTTTTATTGCAACATTTCATAAACAATGTATTTTGAAARGTTGCAATAAAAGTGCTTAAGCTGACATATTTCTGGTCTTTTCCCGTTTCCCATCAAGGGGTGAAACAAAGCGCAGAGACAGAAAGACCCAGAAAGTGACCAACGCCCTGCGAGCATTCGTCCTCACAAACCTGCTTTTGGTGGGATTTGGAATCACCTGCTTGATACCCAATCTCCCATTACAGGTGAGCAGAAAACCTGGTGTTGACCGTGTTCACTCAGTGTTGTTTTAGTMAATGGTAAATGTACAGAGCTGTTTATGTATGAAGGTTTTACAATGAAATGTTGCCTGTCAATGTCTGTTTTAACTTGGTCCTCACTGGTGACCTTTCCTTGGTTAACTTTGTAACCTGACTTTGCTCACTTGGATTATTTGAAGTTGAGTTCTGAAAAAGGGGTGTGAGCAATTAATATCTTAKCTGTTGTAGATCAACCTTGGGATAAGTTTAGTGAAATATAGAAGAGTTCTGACCGTAKTGATGAGCTAATAGTTTGTAAGGTCAAGATCAAAGTGGTTTTCTACCATCCTAAAGCAACTCCATTCACAATAAAGCCATCAAACTGAATAAGCTTTACACGACTAACAGTTTCACATTACAAAGCTTCTTCTTTGATTGTGTTTTGCAAGTTTAACTGCAAATCCACAGAACCTCATATTAAAAGACCCGAATGGTCCCTTTAAGACTGATTAATATCCAGCCTGCTTTCTTCTCTCTTCATATTACCTCAGATTTTGTCTTTCATCTTACACACTGTGGTGAGAGGATTTATCCACTCTGCTGTTGGGGGTCTTTARGCTGCTGTGTAAGTTTTTATTCTCCTGATGCCTTTTGTTAAAAAACATTCAGATTCTTTCTGTATTTATGTCCAGTCCATGATCTTTACAGCCCGTTGACATCCTAGATGAGAAGGCACTTTTCAAAGTTTCACATAACTGATCTCCTCTTCCTCTTTAGATATCCATCCTCACAGTTTGGAAGTTTAACTGGGATGCAGTCTCTGGCCAGTGCAGTTTTTGCTCTCCTGCAACAACCCCTGTTTTTGGCTATGATGGGACCTCTTGGTGGAGATCCATTCTGGGTAAGAACAGAAAAACACGCAAACTTGAACAGTGAAACCCTTGGGCTTGTCTAATGCTGATGTCATCCTCCAGGTCAACATCGGACTCCTCGTTCTCAGCATGCTGGGCTTCTTGCTGCCTCTCTACTTAATCTGCTTTCGACGGACTCTTCATCAACAGCAACTGCAGAAAGCTGAAAATGCTAAAATCTACATCAAAATCAACGGCTCAGATGTCCCAGAAGCCTTCGTTTAGAGGATGARGGAGACAGAGGAAGATGCTAAGAAAACACGGGGCAAGTCAACATATAAGCCTCAGAGAATTTGTTATAAAAGGCCCACCTAAAAGTTGAAATTCCAAAATAAAATWAAAAAAAAACTACAGGGAACMCTGTCATGACAAATCGCCCCATGAATGGCTGGGGGAGGAGAAACCTAAGMGGAGTAAAGAGCAAGAGAGGAAAAACTGTGAAAGGAAAGAGGCGTCAGCCATCCGTATTCCCCCAAATCCTCGGGACTCTTTTATTTCTTCCCTTCTTTTTGAAACCAGCGCAGCTCCTTTCCAYCGTTTAGACTGATTCAGTTTTCTCCACATGCAGCAGAAAAAGGTTGCACCATTAAAGATGATTAAAGCATCACTTTCACAACAAGCCTTAGCATGTGATGCTAATACTTCAAGTTTGGTTTTGTTCTGTGTGGTAAAAAAACATGTCTGCACATCATCTTCATCTCTTTGCACAGTGAAACCTTCCAGTCTGTGAACTGGATTTCATTGAAAGATGACAGAGTATATTTAGGAGTGGAAACTTGGACCAACAGAATATTCAGTCACGATTGTGGAGCTAGATTTGTTGCAAGGCTAACATCTGACACTGTAGATTACAACATCCTATTAAACTGGATGGTTGTTAGTATTTTTTTCTAAAAAATAACTTAATGTGTGTTTAGAGTATTTATTTTATTTTATTCTTTGGACTTTTCTGTTATATACTTAACAAAGTGCCTTTAGAATGTTTGTTCAGAACTAACCATTCTAACATCAGTGAAACCATAGTCTACCCGTTGTAATACATGCGGTACTCAATAATTTATTTTTGTTTTATCTATAATTATCATCATTCAGATGCCTTAGCTTGAGTGAGTGTCCTCCAGTTTGAGAAACCATGAAGAGATAAAACAGCACTTTTACAGCCTTTTCCATGCAGTCTACTGCACATTCTCTTACAGCAGACTAAAAAAAATCTTTGCCTTTAAACTTCAGAAAAGGGTTCATTTTAATTCACACTTCATAAAGTTCTTGGTGTCTTTATAGTGTGCAGCAAACGTTTTGTCCTGTCCTGTTTTGTGTGGTTAAAACCCTTCTACTGCCTCTACAGATAAAGATGAGTGGGTTTTTTTAAGCAGGTAACTGGAAGAGTTTGTGAGATAAATAAAAGTTTGGGTTTTTTCACTGCTCATTGTTGTCATCATCTGTTATATATATACACACACAAACACACACACATACATACATGTATGTATGTACTGTATATACAGCAAAATTGGTGCWTTACCGCCACGGACTGGTAGCAGTGTGCCTTGAGGACCAGGGTTGAAAAACACTGAGGCTGAGTAACAAAGTAACTTTTTTTTACTTAAGTAAGAAATTTTGGTTATCTGTAATCCATCCATTATCTTTGCTTCTTCCTTTCCATGTCGTGGTGGTCACTGGTGTCCATATTCAGCAGTCACTGTGCAAGGAGCAGGGTACATCTTGGAAAGTCCATCTGTGCTCATCTGCTGTGCTCTTCAGCATGTCTTTAAGTACTACAGAAGCCTGCCAATCACTCGTTCATTTAAATCAGGTGTGCCAAAGCAGGGAAACAACTAAAACATGCAGGGTAGTGGGTCACGAGGACCGGAAGTGAGAATCACTGAGTTAACCTAACATTCATGTTTTTTGGTCTAGTGGGAGGAAACTGATGCATGCACAGAGAGAGCATGCAAATTATACACGGGATTTGATCTGGCAACCTTCTTGCTGAGAGGCAACAGCCTACCCAATGGAGGCCGCAGCCCCCTGGGTGGCCGCCAGGGGGCCTCAGAAAGCTGAATGGTTTTCTATTTCTTGGATCTGTCTGTTGAACCTGGACATGTTTGATATCAAAAGAAACCRAAGAATCCTGACCAAAAGCTCAAGGAAACTATTTTTACATTCACCAAACACAGTTCAAACATCAAGCAGTTGAATCGGAAAGTAAACAAACTGTACAAAATGTCATCATTGCAAATCTGTAAATACATTCAAGCAAATCTGTAAAGGAAACATTTTTACATTATTTTTTATAAAGCAAGTCAAAATAGACTATAAAGTGTGTTGAAAGTTTTTTTCTTGGTTTTGAGAGAATATGGTCCAAATGAAGTCTAATATAATTTCTATTTATTTTTTATATACTGTATGGTGACAAAATAAATGTTTTGATAATTTTTCAAAAGAACAAACATTCAATAAGAAGTCTTTTCAGGCAAGTAAGAAAAAAAAATAACTTTTGAAATAAAAACTTAAGAATTCTTAACATTTATTAAAGGAACATGGTCTGTACTGTGCAGAATGACAAAACACAAAATTATTTCTTTACTAAAACCTCTGTAACTTTGCTCCAGTCTATTTTTGAATCTTTGCACAGGTAATGTCCACAAGTGGATTTATGGTTTCCAAGAGTTTTTAGCCTTCATCATTTTAGTTTTAAATGAGTTATATACTGTCTAATGGAAAAAATATTCAGGTGAGAGTGAAAAAAATCCATCCCCAATATCTCTAAAACCACAGTGACGGTTTTAATACTTACACTTCTGATGAAATCTTCCAAATATTTAGCTTTATTTGAATACCAAGATTTGTAAGTAGAGTTTGTAAACTCTGAGATACACTCAGTTACATTTTGGCATGGTATTTTGAGCAAAAACAACAAGAAAACCTCTTGGGGCTTAAGAAGTTAAAATAAAAATGTTAAATATTAACAAAAAATTCAGTCTGTTTTTCAATTACTATTTTAAGTGTAATTTATAACAATGTATTGAACGGTTGTTTCCCATGCTCATTTTTCTGATCTGTCAAATTTTAGATTTGAAAATAAAGGACATTTTAAAGTTCCCACTGTGATCCACAGCCCAACCTGGCTCCAGTATGCCTTACATTTTAAGACAGGTGTACAAGAAATGTAAAATAGCCACATGTGAACCACTTATAAATTCAATTAGATCAAAATCGGTTAGATATAACTGTGCTGACACTGAAATGCTGTGGACGTTCTTATTATAGAGCCTAAACGGAAACAGAAAAGGGAATTAATGCACATTTATTTATTAAGTTTATTATTTATAAACTGATTTACATGATGTCTTTATTTTTGGCAAGAATGTCTTTGATTTTGCTACAACCATCCATCTCTATTTTGTTGTTGATCCAGGTTTGTTCGCGCTCTCAGCACTAAACTGGTCAGAAGTGACACTCAGGTGACGACAGGTGGCAGTTCTCCTGAGGTTAGTGAAATAATTTGTTCAGTCTGAAGCTAGCAAGTTTGTGACAAATAAAAGGCCAAAAGAACCGAGCAGCAGCCCTGCTATGGAGAACACTGCTGTAAAACTCCTGGCCAAGTAAAATCAGGAAGTTTGAGGCAGCATGCATTAAGTATAGCTTTACAGCTATTCAATCCTGAATGAAATTGTGAATAAAATTTCTGAAAAGTTGACATTTCTTTACATATATTGATGTAGGCTATTTTATTGTCAACTCGCAAGGGGGTGCCCGGCAAGACGCTAAAGTTGTTTGGGGGGCCTTGGCATGGAAAAGTTTGGGAACCCCTGGCCTAACCAACAGAGCCACAGTGAAAATAGGAGTATAGGAGTGCACAGCATGTGTGTGTGAGTAGAAAAATGTGTACAATAAAACTGAGCGTATTTTTAATGTTTGAATAATTCAGCAGGCAACCAGCAGAGGGCAGTAAGTCAAACCTAGATACATGTAATACATTGCAGTCTTCAGGTCTGTATAAATTGTGGTACAGGAAACACCTGATAGATGTATGAAGACAGTAAACTACAAGTGCAAAAAACACAATGTAATTATATGCAAAAAAAAAATCCCCTGCAACAATGTTTAAACCGTTGCTTTGTGTGCTGCTGCAGGACATTTTCTGATTCCTAAGCCAGAAATCTTGTTCAGAGGCAAACATTTTCTGGTTATGTTTTCAACAGCTGATCCTGTTCCACTCACATCTTTCCAGGACTGTCAGTGTTATGCTCTCTGCCACTTTACACCATGTTCCAGCACATTATTATCACTTACACAGCTCATCACCTGAGACAAAACGTGAGAAACATTCTTCACATCAGGAAAGAGCTCCTGAAAGCTCAGCTGAATCTGCTGCAGCTGAAAACACGGCCTTGAAAACTCACTCAGTGAACCGTGTTAAACAGACGTGTACAATTTTTGACACTAGAAAGTCACAAAGCAGAGTTTGTCTTCTGTAGTGTTTTATATTTTAACATGTTCTTCTGTTGCACATGCTCCCACTCTTCACAGCCAAACCATCACATGCTCGGTTCGTTTTACATTCTGTAGGATAAATTGGAATCTTGGGATTTACTTCACGTGGTTGTTATTTAACACTTCTCACATTTTCTTTTTTTTCTGCAAACCAATCTCAACTGGTGCATGAAAACCACTCTCCCACAGTAGTAGCTTGCGAAGACTGTTTATGAAAGGTGCAAATACAACTCATACTGACATGTTCACTCATAACTTTGATAGCATATGAGAAACCTACAAATCAAAGAAACCCAGCACTTTTTATCGAATCTTTTTACTGGTTCCATTTCCTAAATGGCATTTTTCTGCTCTATCCGATAAAACAAATGAGACTAAWGGGGATAAATTAAACAGGATTGGTACAAGTCTGGTCCAACGAGGCTCTTGAAGTAACCACAGTGGCGCCGAGGCATGTAAAAAATAAAGAAAATGACAACAGCTGAGCCATAAAATGAACAATGAAAACACAGAGCACTGAATAACTGAGGAAGTTGAAACTAAGTTCATCAACAATAGCAGTGAAGGTAGCAAAATGCTAACAAAAGTAGCTAAAAGTAGCAAAAGACCAGTAAAAAGTAGCTAAATTCTAGCAGTACGTCAAAAAACAGAAAAAATAATTATATTACAGAGTGAAGTTGAAAATTATAAAACATAATGATTGTAAAACAAAGTAAAAAAAATAGCAAAAAGCCTAATTTCTGCTACCTTTAGCTTTAAATACAATCCTGTTTTTATTTGAAAAGATAAATTTGAAGTTACAACAGGATTATTTGGGCCTCAGGAGTCCAATGAGGTCCAGGATGTGAGTGCTGGCAGGTGGATACAGATGTGCTATAAATACAGCTGCGTTTCACTCTTACATAATTCTAGACTCACAGGGACTCACTTCCCATGATCTGCAGGACGTGGGCCCAGATTAGGGACGTGTATAAAGGACCATCCTGTAAATCCCTGAGTGTGTGCACGTGCATGCACAAAAACTAAGGTACAGTCAGACGACCTCCAGGGGTCCTTGAGAGAATTACAAATCAGCTTTTAATCCATAATTTATCAGGATGGCAGATAAAGCTACACCCAAATTATTGTAAGCCCATAAAGCAGGATCCAGGCCAAATAAAGTGCCTGTTGGGAGGCAGAATAATGTCAGACATGAAGCTGCAGCAGAGGGAGCGGAGGAAGATAATCACATCAGATGCGAGGACTTTTTTTTTTAAAGGGCTTAAAGAGCTGGGCGATCTGTGCCAGCGGTGGTCCCCTCATCCACTGATGGTGAACCACGCTTTTACGTCACTGGCGTCATGATGACGCAGGTGTGCTGCGCACTCTGCAAATAAAGGATTCAGGGATGCTTATTTAACCCCAGGAAGGTTTTCTTTTGTCCATAAGAATTCTTATAAAAATGAAATAAAAATAAAAACTTTACTTGTATTTATTATTATTATTATTATTATTATTATTATTATTATTATTTGTCTTCTTAATCATAATGATCCTGCATGCTCCACCTGCCAACTTGGTGAGCTTTGTGAACAACTCTGCCAATCTATTAAAGCAGTAGGATTTAAAAACTGAAAACTGTCAAAAAGACTCAGAGGAAGAGAATCTGCAGTTTAAGTGTACTTAGTCAAGTAGTGGCCCACGGCCTCAGCGAGGACACAGCTTGCAATCAGGGTCCGCATCTCCTGTGAGCCCCAAGCTCGCTTACATCTCCTCTGATCAGCCCTAATAGACAGGAGGGGGTACACAGTCTTTTTCAACCAAAAGTGAAAGCAATTAAAAAGGTTAGAGTTTACTTAGAATTAGATTAGTAACAGACAGTAGTAACAAGCTACAGTTTATATTAGAAAGCYTTTTTTTCACTGAATGAATAAATAAATAAAAATCCGAGCTTTGATTAAAAAGCTGATGTTTGATGGATTTTGAGCATTAGTTGTAATACTGGAGATTGGTCCAAACAAAAATCATGTAGCAGCAAACAAAATCTGCTGTTTTTTTTTTTTTTTTTTTTTGTATTTTTTCTCATATCAATGATTAAAGTTGTGGTATCCTGATTTAATAATATTTGTCTTTTGGTTGTGTTACCACTCAACACCACTAGAGGGTNCTTATCTAAAAGATTTTGTGAGTAAATAGTGAACTTCCCCAAGTAAGAGCAAGAATGTGCTCTGGGACTCACTGGAAGGAGGGTTATCTATCCACGTTCTATGTTAGTTTAATTACATAAAAAAAAAAAACAAGTCTGAATTTGTTATTTTGTTTTGCATATTAGTTGTATTGAATAGTAGCACTGTTCGAATTTTGTATGTTCCTGCTGCAGTTAAGAAGACATTTTTTTTTTGTGCATAAATAATTTCAGGTAGTGAGTTTTGTGATGTTAAATGACACCGGCATAGTTTACTCTTAAAGGGGGAGGAATGTGGTATCCTGATTTAATAATATTTGTCTTTTGGTTGTGTTACCACTCAACACCACTAGAGGGTGTAGCAGAAGAAAAACTAAAAGAAATCTACTGCAGGACTCGTGTGTGCAGAAGAAGTTATACCATGTGTTGTACAGAGCTGTTGCTGTGAAAAGCATTAAAAAGAAGTTTACATAAATCTACTGAGAGTGTAGTCCATTCATGAAAGTGAAGATATCACAAAAGTGTCCTTAAATGAAAACTTTATGAGCAACGTTTGTAATTGTTGCCAGTTTTAAATTCAACAGAAACAGCTGAATGATTTCAACAACCATAGAAGAGTTGTTTGAGATTGAGAAGTTTGACTATTTTGATGCAATGGTACATATTTATGCTCAGATTGGTTGAGTAAAATGTGTATATAAAAGTGCTTTGTTTACATTGAGTGCATACCCACAATTTAGAACTGCATCTCCTATATCTGGAAAACCAATAAAGTACTAAATGCTTTCAAACTACAACACAGTTAAGGACACCCTTTGTACGTTAGATTTATTGCAATAAAAATGTTTCCACCATTTGAGTTTATAGGATCTTTAATTGCTTTCGACTTTCTCAGCTTTGGCTACCTTCAGCAGCACCCAGCGCTGGCTCCTCCCCCTGCATGACTCCGCCCCCCCGGTGAACCATCATTTTTCAGAGTGGGCAGCACGTCTCCTCTCCTCTGTTCCTCCTCCTCCTCCTCCTCTCCGCAGGCCTTCTCTCTCTGCGGGCCGCGGCTGCGATCAGGAAGTGAATTTGAAGAGAAAAGCGGCTGAGGAGGGAGGATGACATAGAGAGCGAAAGGGGGAGAGAGGTGGGAGAAAAGCAAGCGGATGAACTAAACGGTGGGAAGAGCCGAGCCTGTTTCTGGTACCGTTTTTTGGAGCTGTTCCACCCCGGGATATAGATCCTCTCTGCAGCGCCCCAAAAATATCTTAAAGAAAATGCTCATAAAGGAATAGTAAGTATGTGCGTGTGTGTGTGCGTGATGCGGCTTTTGCAGCTTTGACATTGTAGCAGGGGAATTAGAAAAGTGTAGAGGGCATCCAGCACATTTCGTGCCCATAATAGGTGTTCTTTTCTCCCCTCTGCGCGTAAAAGTGACAGATTTAAATAAAACGTCAGATAAATGCGGCTACATCAGCAGCCGGTGTGCAGGTTTGCCCTTCACATCACAAGCCCTCAACTTGTTTCTCTCTAATGACGGATGCTGTTGAGGAGCGGTGGTGCTGAGGCAGACATGGCTGGTACATGAAGTACAAGTCGTGCCGTGTTATTATTGGTGCGCTCCGGTGAAGGRGAAAGGAGCGACGCAACGTTCCAGCGTTCGGCTCCGGAGGAATGGGCGCGGAGAGGCGTGAGATGTGGCCCCCGGGGGGTGGAGGAGGGCCGAGGGATGCTCCGAGCAGATGACATGGGAGGTGGGCAGGTGGAGAGGTCGTTTTTTTTTTTTCTTTCTTTCTTTTGATGCACCGGTGGGATTCTGGACATGATGGAGTCAAGGAGTGGTGTCTGTGCTCTGTGGAAGAGGGAGGATTATAGTTTCAACGATTTTAACATGTTGTTCTTTTTTTTTTAAAGGGCCTCAGTGTTCTGTGTGAAGAACAGTCTGAGGCCTTCAGCCAATCAGATCATGGTAAGGACCAAACCGGTGGAAGGCAGGTGAAAAAGGGCTGAACTGAAAAGATCTTCATAGAAACACATATTTTCGTGAATTTGTTTTAGGTTATAAGGACATCAAGATGCCTCAGGARGCAAAAAAGTTCTCAATTTATAGAGCTATCGTTTAGACCCTGACCATAGGCAGAAATCGCAGGGGTCTAGGAGGGGGCCAGACCCCTCCTAATTTTGGAAAAAAAAATAAAAAAATAAGTAAATAAAATCGACCCTGCAATTTAATCATTTGCGGAAACTGCTTTTAGAAAATTTTAAAAACAGAAAACATCATATATATATATAT